TACAAATCAAAAGTTGACTGCTCATCCTGAGTGCACTATTCTTCTCAACCATGGGAGTTAACTGCTGAAGAGTTCACTGCATTCGTCCAACAAACAGTTCTTCATAGACTTTGTCGTGTGATAATATAGACTCGTGATTAATTAATAACCCCTCCCTTTGGAGAGGATGTTCAATTCAAATCGGGTGGTATTACTCAAGAGTCTACATTACAGTGATACACCCCAAAAAATCCAATTATTCATCTTTTTTTGTAGCTTGTTGTTACTAGTAGTAATAGCCTCCAACCTACTAGCGATGGCCTCCAAGCTACTAAATAGCGATGGCCTCCACCTAGTAGCTTCTTGTTACTAGTAGTAAGGGCCTAGCGATGGCCTTCAACCTACTAGGGATGGTCTCCAACCTACCAGCAAAGGCGTCCAACCTACTAGGGATGGCCTCCAACCTACTAGCGATGGCCTCCTACCTGCCGGACCGTTTTAGTGTGCATTGTTGGTTGTATTTCAAAGATTTTCAACGTTTTAGCTGCCCACTCCCAAAGTGGAACACCGATACCCTCCCTCTCCCCATCTCTCCCCATCTCTCCCCTCTCCTCCGTAAGGGGGTGTCGTACGTTGGTGCAGATGTTAGGCCTTCCTCAAACACAGTGTTGCAACACACCGCTTCGTCAGTCAGGGGGCTTACTGATGTCAGAGTCATCTCCATTGCTAGCGTGGTTGGTTTGCAGATTAACTGTTCATTGGCTGAAGTGTTCGCAGGGTGTTGTAGCTGCAGCATATTCTCATGGTTCTATCCCTAGATCAGACAGGTCATAGGAAGACTTAACAGCTGCATACCATCACCAAATCACTATGGCCAAACCCTTGTGACACGTGAGACTAATTTCTCAGAAGGCCTTGACCAGGAGGAAAAGGATTGCGTTTTGTATGTGTTTTCTATGGTGACCGGCAAGTCTTTCTCAATGCGTGCGCGTATTTGTTTAAGCACGATTTCTTGTGGTTCGATCCACTTGAAACATCTCCTCGTGCCCTTCGGATCCCTTCGGATCCCTTTCGGATCCCTTCGGCTCTAGCCCCCGGAAACGGCCTCATTGGTAGAGCTTGCCGAAAGCATACACCCCAAATTGATACAATTTGGCACCGATGTATTTGGCGCCGATGTATTCAGGTCTTTCAGTTCATCTTCACACTTGCTACTTCTTTGCCAGACTTCCATCCATCTCTTACGTTTGACTGGTGCAAGCCATGAACAAGCCATGAACCTGGGAGTTAACAAATCTGCATCCAGGTTGAACATTCAGAACTGAAGAATATCTGTTGCTGAAGACACCATACCTTTCTTGCGTCTTCGGAGCTGGAGCAAGGCTGAACGCATCATTTTTTGGGTAACCAAGTGGTTTTGCCACATCACCCATTTAGGAGCAAAGCTGCTTACCATCGCATCTCGTGCCTGCTATCAAGTTGCGGTCTCCTGCTTTCGACCGCTGCCTTTGCAGACCAAGCGGACTGTCTCTTTTCAAACCTGACAGGTATCCAGAACTTCATCCTGCCAGGGCAAAGAGAAGTGTCCTTGAGTTCACTGTTGTCCCTCAAAGCAAAAAGGCTATGTAAGACTTCGATTCTGTTCGATTGGACTTGCAGTGTTTCACTTTTTGGCAAGTTAAAGTGATGATCTACTCCATAGCAGTTTGAATTCAGCATTGGTGTTTGACACGCTTTTCCTTCGATCTTTTCCATGTCACCTTCCTGGTGGGCGTTGTCGATTTATAAACGTCACCTCATCCTTGAGATCATGCCTGATCAGCTCTTTCACTTTCAACATGCAAAACGCGGTGGGTGATTGTTGGTTTTGGTTCTATTCCCCCCACTGCTCAATCCGCCTCCTTGGCTGGCAAGGCTGCCCCGCTTAAGTCGAACACCAATCGAGACCATCCCCGAGTTCTGACCGCAAAGACCTTCTCGATGTTCTCCTGAGAAACAAATAACATTTTTTGAAAGTCCACTTTAAACTGTGGCTAGCTTAGTTTCAGCTGGAAGCTACTAGGTTGGAGGTCAATACTACTAGTAACAAGAAGCTACTAGTAGCTATCCTGAAAGGACATCGCTACTAGTAGCTTCTTGTCGTTCCATTATTTGGCCCAGAAGCCGAGAAGGAGGCCAAAGCTGACTTGATGTTGAACCACGACATATGAAGAATACAGATCCACCAGCTCGGCTTCTTTTCCAGTCCATCCGACACCTGTCACGTTTCGCTTCCCGTCTCTAGGCGACCGAGAGCACTTCGAGCTTGCCAAATCACAGACCGGCGCCTGGGATCCGCACCGTCACTAGTAACAAGTGCATCGCTACTAGTAACAGGTGCCTTACTAGTAGTAACAAGAAGCTATTAATCCTTTTTTAAATTAATAGCTTCTTGTTACTACTAGTAAGGCACTTGTTACCACTAGCGTGGCACTTGTTACTAGTAGTAACAAGAAGCTACTACCGTCCTCGCGCGACAAGGGGGATCGGATCGCCACTCCGGTCCACGCCGTGAACTGGACGATCGCGGACGAACGTCCAACTTTTGATGAAGACGTGCGATGTATTTGTCCTCGAAAAGCGATCCGAGGAAGTCTAGACTGTGGTCAAACAGCAGTAGTTACGGTTAACAAATGTTGAGTGAAAAATTCTTAGAACAGAAACAAACAGAAACCGCTCACAGAGAGAACTGCCAAGGTGTCATCATTTGCGTAAGAGATGTGTTTTGCCCTTGAGGGTGATTCCATTAGCTGTTGTGTTGGTGCACGTTTACCCTCAAAGATCTTGTTACTGTTGTCACATCCTACATTTGACGCAACCACAGGGTTTACACCCGTTCTGCAACTGAGATGAATCTCACTTGCAGAACTGCCTTAGAGTTTTCGGGGTCACTTTTCTATAACCTGGTTCTCGTTCAGCCAAGGCTTCTTGCAGTTTGTGTGTATCCCGCTGTGGCAGGCACGACATTGTCCAGCATGGCAGGTACATTCATACCGACTGCTCGCAAGAGGTGATACTGATACCGACATTGATTACAGATGCAGGTTTGGTGGAAGAAGCACACCGGAAATTACATTCTCACCAATACCCAAAGAACATTTCTCAGCTGAATGTATTTAAGGTGCTTAATTACTGCGGTCGTGGATTGGTCGCATTGGTGAGCCTACTTGTTTTGCTTTGTGTTTTTTTGCAGGAGTTAGTTCGCTTGGAGACGCTGGTCCAAAACGGCCACTTGGACCATCCAACGTCATGTGACCCAAACCTGGGCATCGTTTTTGGACGTTTCCTGCGCACCTTTTTGCTTGGCAAGATGTTCTGTGATAAGTTAACATAAGTTGACTATAAAGTTGACGATACATGTTCTCTTTCAACATCTTTCAAAGTGTTAGAATCAAAGACCACCTGTAGACTAGAGATCTTTGCCATGACCGGGTAGAGAGACCCGAGACCAGTCTGGAAATTTCTCAAGGTATCTCAAGGTGAAAGTTCAGATTGAGATGCCCTCACCTGTTCATACTGTTTCCCGATAGATGCTTTCTTGGTGATGTTGAAGCAATAAGGCGGATATCAGCAGAATATAATTCCATGGTAAGAAGCACTCAAAGTATAGCATTTCATTGTGTCAAATAGCGACGGCCTCCACCCTAGCGATGGCCTCCAACCTAGCGATGGCCTCCACCCTACTAGCGATGGCCTCCACCCTAGTAGTGATGGCCTCCAACCTACTAGCGATGGCCTCCAACCTAATAGCGATGGCCTCCAACCTAGCGATGGCCTCCACCCTAGTAACGATGGCCTCCAACCTAGGGATGGCCTCCAACCTAGTAGCGACGGCATCCAACCTAATAGCGATGGCCTCCAACCAAATTATGTCTTATTGAATCTCTAGCAAGACCCCCCTGGAAAGCTAACAGGGATCTTGCAATGGCCTCCAACCTACTAGCATGTTTCCTGTTCTCTACTGGTCTGTGAGAATTCTGTGACAGTTCAACTTCAGCTTTAGCCCAACTTCAGCTTTAGCCCCCACCGAGGCTTGCAGCCGGTGATGCCCAGGAAGTCCATGTCCTTGAACCCGCCGAGCGCATATGCACACGCGGCGCACGCGGCGCACGAGTCCCGGGAATCCAATCGAAGGCGACAGGTGGAGCCGCTGAACTTGATGCCAGAGCTAAGGCAGGGGTTGACAAAGAGATGAAACACCGAAGGGGTCGAGACATGTTTGGCTGATTGGGATCTGTTATTCAAAGGCGTGATTGAGGTTGGAAGATGTTTGAAGATGTTTCAAGGGGTTTAGCTTTCCTTCAAGAGCAACTACAACCGATTGAGCAGGATCAGCGGGGTGCTTCCCTACTGTAGGATCTACCAATTGAGTTTCTCGAACTGGTTCAAGGATTCATTCACACTCATTTTGTTTGGTCCGTCGAGGTAACTACGCATAGAAACATCCAGAAAGCTGTCAGAATCCTTTCAGAGCCTTTTCAGAGCCTTTTCACTTTCTAGTAGCAAGAAACTACTAGATTGGAGGCCATCGCTACTAGCAAGAAGCTATTAGGAACAATAAGCTACTAGGAACAAGTGCATCGCTTCTAGTAACAAGTGCCTTACT